ACTACAACAGAAGGGTGCACCTAACTCACAAGAAATATCCCTGGAACACTGAGATCAGGTGATCTAGAAGATTGTGCCACTAAGCTCAGCAAGACATCTTCATCATAAAGCAAACATAACAAGTTTGGGAGTCATAGCAGATCAACCCAATACAAAGAGCCAAAATGAGGAGACAAAGAAATATACCCCAAATAAAAAGAACAGGAGAAATCCCCAGAAAAGAATTAAATGAAATGGAAGCAACTAGGATACCAGATGCAGATGCAGAGTTTTAAACAATGGTTATAAGGACGCCCAACCACCTTTGGGGAAGAATGGATGATCTCAGTGATAACTTAAAAAAGAGATAGTAAGCATTAAAAAGGACATAGAAACCATAGAAAGAACCAGTCAGAAATGAAAAATACAATACCTGAAATGAAGAATACACTAGAAAGAATCAACAGCAGGTTAAATGAAGCAGAAGATCAAATCATCAATTCTGAGGACAAGATAACAATAAGCAAACAAGCAGAGCATCAAAAAGAAGAGAACTGAAAAAAATGAGGAAAGTCTAAGGGACTTCTGGGACATCAAGCATCATAGGTATACCATAAAGAGAAGAGAGTAAACAAGGGATCAAGAACACGTTTGAAGAAATAATGTCTGAAAAGTTTCCTAACCTGGTGAAGAAAAAAGTGACACAAGTTCAGGAAGCATAGAAAGTCCCAATCAAGATGAACCCAAAGAGGCCCACACCAAAATACATCATAATTAAAGTGGCAAGGGCTAAAGACAAAGAGAGAATCTTAAAAGCAGCAAGAAAAAAAGCAATTAGTTGCCTACAAGGAGCTCCCATAAGGCTGTCAGCTGATTTCTCAATAGAAACACGATAGGCCAGAAGGGACTAACATGAAATATGCAAAGTGATGAAAATTAAGGACCTGCAACCAAGACTACTCTATCTAGCAAGGTTACAATTTAAAATTGAAGGTGAAATAAAGAGCTTCCCAGACAAAAAAGAAAACCTAATGAATTCATTACCACTACACAAATATTGCAAGAAATATTAAAGTACCTGCTCTAATAAAAAAAAAGAAACAGAGGAATATAGCTATAAAGAATAATATGATGATAAATTAGTACCTAACAATAATACCCTTAAATGTAAATGAATTAAATGATCCAATCAAAAAACATAGGGGAGCCACCCTTTTGGGCAGCTCGGTTGGTTAGAGCATTGTCCCAATATAACAAGGTTGTGGGTTCAAGCCCCAATCAGGGCACATACAAGAATCAACCAATGAATGCATAAATAAGTGGAACAACAAATCAATGTTTTTCTCTCTGCTTTCCTCTGTCTATAAAATCAATTTTTAAAAAGTTATAGGGTAGATGAATTGATAAGAAAACATAACCCATATATATGCTGTCTATAAGAGACCTACCTCAAAATAAAAGATACACATAGACTGAAAATGAAGGAATGGAAAAATATATTCCATGCAAATGGAAACAGAAAAAAAAAGCTGGGGGTGCCGTGGCTGGGTGGCTCAGTTGACTGGAACATAGCCAATACACCAAAAAGGCTGCAGGTTCAATTCTGGTTAGGGCATAAACCTAGGTTGCGGGTTTGATTCCTGGTCACGGTGCATACAGGAGCAACCAACCAATGTTTCTCTCTCACATCGATGTTTTTCTTTCTCTCTCTCCCTCTTGCTCCTTCTCTCCCCCCTCCCTTCCTGTCTCTAAAAATCAATTAAAAAACACAATATACTCAAGTAAAGATAAAAAAGCTGGGGTAGCAATACTTATATTAGACAAAATAGACTTCAAAACAAAGACCATAAAAGAGACAAAGAAGGTCACCACATAATACTAAAGGGATCAATCCAACCAGAAGATATAACCCATGTAAACATATATACACCCAACACAGGAGCACCTAAATATAAAACGAAAATCTTGGTGGATATTAAGGGAGAGATCAACAGCAATACAGTCATAATAAGGGCTTTTAACACTCCACAGACATCAATGGATAGATATTTCAGACCAAAAAAAAATCAACAAGGCAATAGTGACCTTAAACAACACAATAGATAGGATGGATTTAACTGATGTTTACAGAACATTTCATCCCAAAGCAGCAGAATATACATTCGTCTCAAGTGCACATGAAACATTCTCAAAGAAAGATCATGTGTTAGGACACAAAATAAGCCTTAATAAATTCAGAAAATTTAAATTATATTAAGCATTTTCTCTGACCACAATGAAACAAAATCAATTACAATAAAAAAACTGAAACACATAGAAGCTAAATAAAATGTTATTTAACAATGGATGGGTTAACAATGAGATCAAGGAATAAATCAAAAGTTACCTGGAAATAAATGAAAATGAACACAACAAGCCCAAATCTATGGGACACACTGAAAGCAGTCTTGAAAGGGAAGTTCATAGCATTACAGGCCTACCTCAAGAAGCCAGAAAAATCTCAAATAAATAATCTAACACTACACCTAAAAGAACTAAAAAAAGAGCAATAAACAAACCCTAGAGTAAGTAGAAGGAAGAAAACAATAAAGATTAGAGCAGAAATAAATGACATGGACTAAATAAAAAATAATACAAATGGCCCTTGTTGGTTTGGCTCAGTGGTTAGAGCGTCAGCCTGCAGACTGAAGGGTCCCAGGTTCGATTCCAGCCAAGGGATGTGCCTTGGTTGCAGGCTTGATCCCTGGCATCTGTAATACTTACAACAATAAAGATAAATTTAAAAAATAATAATAATGCAAATGATCAATAAAAGCAAGAACTGGTATTTTGAAAAGATAAAGAAGACTGACAAAATTTTAACTACACTCTCAAGAAACAAAGAGAGAGGACCCAAATAAATAAAATCAGATATGAAAGAGGCAAAGTAACAATGGACACCACAGAAATACAAAGGATTGTAAGAAAATACTATGAACAACTATATGCCAACAAGCTGGACAACCTGGGTGAAACGGATAAACTCCTAGAAACACACAATCTTCCCAAACTGAATCAGGAAGAATCAGAAAAACTGAATAGTCCAATTACAATTAATAAAATCAAAGCAGTAATAGAAAATTCCCAGCGAACAAAACTCCTGGATGGGATGACTTCACAGGCAAATTTTATCAAACATTCAAGGAAGAACTAACACCTATCATTCTAAAACTATTCCAAAAAAATTCAAAAGGAGGGAAGACTTCCAAGCTCTTTTGACGAGGCCAGTATTATCCTAATTCCAATGCCAGGTAAAGACACTACAACAAAGAAAAAAAAATGTAGGCCAATATCTCTGATGAACATAGACACTAAAGTCCTCAACAAAACATTAGCAAACCAGATCCAGCAATATACTAAAAAGATCATACACCATGATCAAGTGGAATTTATTCCAGGGATGCAAGGTTGTTACAATATCCGAAAAACAATAAACATGATCCTCTACGTAAACAAAATGAAGGATAAAAATCACATGATCATATCAATAGATGCAGAAAAGGCACTTGATAAAATCCAGCACCCATTTACGATAAAAACTCTCAGCAAAGTGGGAATAGACGGATCATACCTCAACATAATAAAGGGATATATGACAAACCCACAGCCAACATCATAATCAATGGGCAAAAACTAAAAGCATTTCCCTTAAGATCAGGAAGTAGACAGGGATGTCCACTTTCACCACTCTTATTCAACATAGTACTGGAAGTCCTAGCCACAGCACCAGAGAGGAAGATGACATAAAAGGCATCCAAATTGAGAAGGAGAAAATAAAACTGTTATTATTCGCAGATGATATAATATAGTATATATAGAAAACCATAAAGACTCCACCAAAAAACTACTCAATCTAATAAATGAATTTGGCAAAGTAGCAGTATACATCTGTTAAGGGATTAATTTCCAAAATATATAAGGAACGTATACTACTCAATACCAAGAAGACAAAAAAACCCAATTAAAAAATGGGCAAAGGACCTGAATAGACACTTCTCCAAAGAGAACATACTGATGGCCAACAGACATGAAAAAATGGTCAACATCATTAATCAGAGAGATGCAAATTAAAATCACAATGAGTTGTCACCTCATACCTGTCAAAATGGCTATCGTCAATAAATCAACAAGTACTGGCGAGGAAGTGGAGAAAAGGGAACCCCAGTGCACTGTTGGTGGGAATGCAGATTGGTACGGCCAATGTGGAAAACAGTACAGAGTTTCCTCAAAAAATTAAAAACGGAACTGCCTTTTGACTCAGTGATTCCACTTCTGGGAATATGTCCGAAGAAACCTGGAGCGCTAATTCAAAAGAATATATGCACCCCCATGTTCATTGCAGTGTTATTTACAATAGCCAAGATCTGGAAACAGGCCAAGTGCCCAGCAGTAGATGAGAGGGTAAAAAAGCTGTGGTACATTTACACAGTGAATACTACCGGGCTGTATAAAAGGAAATCTTACCTTTTATGACAACATGGATAGACTCAGAGTAGTAAGCGAAGTGAAATAAGTCAGTCAGAGAAAGACAAATACCATATGACCTCACTTACATGTAGAATCTAATGAACAAAATAAACTGATGAACAAAATAAAAGCAGAAGCATGGATACATGGAACACACTGACTGCTGTCAGACAGGAGGGGAACTGGGGGAGGCTGATGAAAGAAGGTGAAGGGATTAAGCAAAAAAACATGTGTGTGTGTGTGTGTGTATATAAAACACACAGACAACAATATGGTGATAGAGGGAAAAGGGGATGGGGGCTAGGTGGAGGTGGTCAATGGGAGGGAAATAGAGAGACAAAGAGACTTTGCTTGGTGCAGTGGGCACACAATGCTTTGTTCTGATGGTGTTTTCTTGAGTTGTACACTTGAAACCTGTTTGGTTTTGTGAACCAATGTCACCCCAATAATTCAATAAAAAAATAAAATGAATAAATAAATGATAAATAGGAAAAAAAGAAAAAAGGGATAATTACCTGGCAAGGTAGCATCAAATCCCATGTCTTCTATTGCTTTTCTCAAAGTTTCCGGAGAGGTTAGTAGAGGATCATATTCAACAGTTCCATTGGCATTCGCAAGGGATACTAGTATGGATTTTACACCTGCCTTTTTTGATATGACACCCTCAATAGACTGCACACAAGAATTACAAGTCATGCCATCAATGTTTATCACGGTTTCTTGGGTCAGAGGCTGGCCCATTCCTATGTTCAAAGGAATCTTTTGAAGAGATGAGCTGGAGGGGGAGTTTGAAGTACTCTCAACTCTACTTGAAATACTAACTCTATATTGTCCTGGTGATATGGCCTCTATTGCTTTTTTCAAGGTTTCTGGAGTGACTAAGCTTGCATTGTACTTTACTACAGCAGATCTATTCTCTAAAGAAACTACTACGCTGCTTACATATTGGAGTGTAGATAAAGCATTTTCAATATTTGACATACATGATTTACAATGCATGCCATCTATGATGAAAGTAACTGTGGAGTCATTGGTACATGATGGACTCCTTTGCTGTGATCCCTCTGAAGATTTGACTGGTGTGTTTTTTAGACGTTCTATATCAATACTTCCCAAGCTGAGGTACTTGGGCTGTTTTTTGATGAATGCTGGAAAGCCCACAGCTTCAATCTGCTTTTTTATTTCCTCTGTTGTGATAAGATGAGGTTGATAAACAATAGTAGCTTCTTGGTTGTCCAGGGAGACTAATTAATAAAAAGAAAAAATTATTTGTTATTCCTGGGCTACTTCAGAAAATATTCTGCAGATAAAATCAATACCACACAAAATTGTTTCTCTCCCATTGTTGTTATTATCGTTTCTTAAAATAATTCTATTCTTTTCAGATAATGTTATTGACATAGACTGGAAAAAAGTAAAAGATATAACCACTATATCTATGGTCTCCAAGTTTCTGCACGCCTGAGGAAAAATATATTAGACATAAAGAAGACACCAAGTTATGCTGTATCAAGAACTCTGAACTCCATAAATCACCACCCTAACTGCCTTTTCTGCTACTTCAAAACTCATGTAACTTTTAATCATTAGCTTTACTGACATTAATCCTGGAATACATTGTACCTCAGACTTCAATGAAGCAATAAGCATTCCAGTCCCACAGATTCAAATCCCATGCTTAAGAAGAAAGCAGAAAGTTAAAAGCCCAAAACAGAAAACTGAGCCTTATAAAACAAACAAGTAACACCAGATGTATTACCTTTAATTCGCTGGACACCTTGCAGTTTCCCTATTTTTCCTTCAATGGTGCTAGTGCATGAATGGCAGGTCATCCCTTCCACTTTCATCTTCAGCATGACTTCACCTGCTTGAGTTGTACTGTAATCTTCACAAGTTCCTGACTTTTTCTCCAGACCTCCAGTATCTAAACTGAGATCTGGAACCAGCTCTATTATCTGATTGGCATTCACTAAAGAAGGGATTATTGTCACCACTGCAGTTCTTTGCTGAGGGGAAATTTTAATATCTGTGACACCCTTGGTCTTGAGCAATGTACTTTGGATATGGTCCCATGGCGGAGTCAGTGAAGCAATGACACTCAGAAACACAGTGTCAGTTAAAACAGGGAGAGGGTTAGGATTGTGGAGAATAGCATCAAAGCCCATGTCATCAATAGCTTCCTTTAGGGTCTTAGGAGTCTGTAGTTTAGGGTCATAAATAATAGTTGCAGTTTTTTCTTCCAGTGAAACCTTTGGAAGGAAATTTAAGAGTCAGTTTAATTACATTACATGACACAGAGCCTAAAAACAATCATTGCACCACATTTAAGAATGAAACAAATAGTTCAATCTAATGGAGTTTCTCTACTACTTCTAATCACTACTATTATCTTTGGAAAGAAACACAAAATGTCGTGAGTACTTACAGGAATGGTAAAGCTATATGTAGGTGTATGTGACTCAGGTACTGATCAGGCATTTGAAACGCACTCATAGACAAACACACCCTAGAACTACTACCATGACTGGGTGCATTTCATTGGCTGATATCTTACAAATTTTTATGATGTAGTCTCTCTCTTTCTCTCTCTCTCTCTCTCTCTCACACACACACACACACACACACACACACACACACACACTGGGTTGCAAGTCAGAAGATTTGAGCTCTAGTGTTATTTCTCCACTTATTAGCCAACCATACTCACTAGTTCTACCATCTGAAAAATGGGAAATATGCCCTATTATCTTCCGGGTTGTCATAAGGATCAGATGAGTAAACAGATAGGAAAGCAGTTCTTTGCAGCAGTGAGTAATATAAAAGTAAACACTGAACAACTAATATTTATCAAGCACTTATTATATGTGCTAAGAACTGGGATTCTCAAGATACAAAGCTGAGCATGACATAGTCACAGGGAACAATACTAAAAGAGAGAATAGAGAAAATGGACAGCCATTCATTCCTGAGAATATAGGTCAGAAAATGCTTCTTAGTAGTGATAATACCTGAATATTATGACAAACAGAAACCAGCAAGGATACATGAGGCAGGGGATTCCAGACAAATAGACGCACAAAAGTAGAGAAAGATGAAAGACTGAAGAATTAAGCAACTACTTTATTACAGGGCCTCTAGTATGCCAATAATGATTTAAAATTTATTCCAGAGGTAATAGAGAGCAATGGAAAAGTTTAGCAGGGGGATGGCATGATCATATTTGCCTTTTAGAGAAGAATCATTTTGGAGGCACTGTGGAAGATTATGTTGGGGTGGAGTGGAGTGACAAGAGAGAATGGGAGATCAGCTAGGAGGCTACTGTAATTGCAATAATGGTACAAGAGAAGGTCTGAATTAAGGCATGAACACTGGGGGTAAAGAGAAAAGGGGCAGTGGCAAGATATATTTTAGGACGGTAAGGCCTAGTAAGGAGAGTATAGAGGGTAAAGGAGATGAGTACGATGACTTAAAGGTTTCTGGCTTGGGCAAGTAGATATCAGAGAGAGGAGGAAAACTGGAGGAAGTTAAGAGGTTGTAGTGGAGAGAAAAAACGATGATGCATTTAGTTTTAGACCAGTTGATTTTGGGCAATAGTATGGTATTAATGTTCTAAAGGCAGTTAAAATATGGGTATTATTATTATTATTATTATTATTACTATTAATTCCTGCTGAAAAGCTTTGTCCCATGAAATAAAAACAACCCTAAAATACAATTAAAAGTAATTCAGAGTAGGAAATCTTACTTTAAATCATCTACAACAATTATATAGTTAAATCTTTCACTTATTTTAACATACGTCATATTTTTATTTCTCCTTTAACTTGGTAATCAATGGCTATGTATTTGGTAATATCTTGAAATGTACCCATGGCATGAAATTTTTTCAAGACTGATAGTTCTAGGAGATTCCAAGATGGTGACAGATTGACTGACACTCTTCCAAGACCAAAGTGGAATTACAACTAAAATATAAAGAGACCATCGTTAATAATCAACAGAAGACTAGCTGGATATCAACCCTCATAACCAAGGACCTAAAACGGAGACCACATAGAGACTGGTAGGAAGTGTGGAGGTGCGAAGGGGCTGGCTGGGCTCCCACAGACAGCAGCTGAAGGTCTGGAGGGATATCTCAGTTGGGGGGGGGTCCCACTGAGAACTCTGGGGTCTAAACCCCAAGCTGGGCTCCCCAGACCAGAGCACCAGAACTGAGAAAGGAGCCCACATAACATATGGCCATGAAAAGCAGCAGGGAGCTGGAAAAGCAGGCACCCTCTTAAAGGGCCAACACACAAAGTTTTGTGTGCAGCCACTCACCTTGGGCTCCCAGCAGAGGTAGGGAAAAGTAGACTAGAGCTATGTGAGGAAATCTAGGGATGCTGGCTTAGGGGATAGAGCTCAGAGGGCAGCCATCTGAATTCCTGTGCTGAGTCATTCCCCCATACTGCAGAGGACATCTTTTTCAGGCAGACATTTGCCATCCAAGCAGCTTTTGCCTAGGGGAGAAGCAATTGCCCCATGCTGTTGGAAAACTTCTCACCCCACCCTGTGGGGTTTCTAAGGCTTGAGGCTCATTAAGAGACTGATAACAATCAGTCTCTGGGTGCTTTCAGACTTTGCCTGATTTGTTATGGTCCCAGGGCTTGGAAAAGCAGACCTTGGTGGGCATCTTGGTCCTTTCCAAACACACCCAGCCCCAGCAGAGGGAACCAAAAGCTGTGTAGAGCAAAAGCTTCAAACAGCATATTAAAAGCCAGTCACAAACAGCATCTGACATTGGTCTACACCAGAGACCATCCAAAGACTGGGAGTCCTAGCAGATCTACCTAATACATAGAAACAAATTCAAACAGGCAGCCAAAATGAGGAGACAAAAAACAAGTCCCAAATGAAAGAAGAAAAGAATTCTCCAAAAGAACGGCTAAATGAAATGGAGATAAGCACTCTATCAGATACAGAATTTAGAATACTGATCATAAAGATGCTCAACAGCATGATAAAAGAAATGAAAACTATGAAGGAAATTAAGAATGGCATAGTAGAAATAAAAAAAAACATTGAAATGAATAAACAGCAGATTAAGGGAAGCTGACAACCATATCAGTGAATTAGAAGACAGGGTAGAAAAAAAATCATTCAATCAGAGATCCAAAAAGGGGGAAAAAAAGGCAAAAACAGGAGGACAGTTTAAAGGAGCTGTGGGACAATATGAGATATAACAATATTCGCACCATAGGAGTACCAGAAGATGTAGAAAGTAAGCAAGGGATAGAGAACCTGTTTGATGAAATAATGGCAGAAAACTTCCCTAACCTGGTCAAGGAAAAAGTCACACAAGTTCAGGAGGCACAGAGAGTCCCAAGTAAGAAGAACCCAAAGAGGCTCACGCCTAGACACATCATAATTAAAATGCCAAAACTTATAGACAAAGAGAGACTCTTAAAGGAAGCAAGAGTCCAGCCAATGTGGCTCAGCAGTTGAGCATCAACCTATGACCCAGGAGATTGCAGTTCGATTCCTAGTCAGGGCACATGCCCAGGTTGTGAGTTCAATCCGCAGCAGGGGGCAGCCAATCCGTGACTCTCTCTCATCATTGATGTTTCTATCTCTCCCTCTCCCTTCCTCTCTCTGAAATCAATAAAAATATATATTTTTAAAAAGGCAGCAAGAGAAAAGCAATCTCTTACTTACAAAGGAGCTCCCATTAGGCTGTCAGCTGACTTCTCACGAGAAACTCTACAGGCCAGAAGGGAATGGCATAAAGTATTCAATGTAACACAAAACAAAGATCTGAAACCAAGACTACTCTAATCAGCAAGGCTATCAGTCGAAATAGATGGTGAAATAAAGAGCTTGCCAGGCAAAAAAAAAAGGCTAAAGGAGTTTGTCACCACTAAACCAGCATTGCAATAAATGTTAAAGGAACTGCTGTAATAAGAAGTTGAAATAGAATGAGAAAGAGAGGCATAAAGCAATAAAATGGCAACAAATAAGTACCTATCAATAATAACCTTAGCCTGGCTGGCATGGCTCTGCAGTTGAGCATGGACCTATGATCCACGAGATTGTGGTTCTATTCCCAGTTAGGGCACATGTCAGGGTTGTGAGCTCCATCCCCAGTAGGGGACGTGCAGGGGGCAGCCAATCAATGACTCTCTCATCACTGATGTTTCTATCTCTCTCTCTCTCTCCCTCTACCTTGCTCTCTCTGAAATCAATAAAGGCATATTAATGTTTTTTAATAATAATAATCTTAAATATAAATGGATTAAATACTCCAATCAAAAGACACAGAATAGCTGAATGGATAAGAAAACATGACCCAGATATATGCTGCCTACAGGAGACCCACCTCAAAACAAAAGACACACAGCTGACAAAAGAAAAAACCTACTGGAGGACTTTAAAGGAGAAATCAATAGCAATAGAGTCATAGTAGGGAACTTTAACACCCCACTGACTTTACTGGATAGATCTTCCAGATAAAAAATCAACAAGGAAACAGTGACTCTAAGTAACACACTAGATCAGATGGATTTAACTGATATTTATAGAACATTTTACCCGAAAGCTGCAGAATATGCATTCTTCTCAAGTGCACATGGGACATTCTCAAAGAAAGACCACACGTTAGGACACAAAACAAGTCTCTACAACCTACAAGTTCAAGAAGACTGAAATCATATCAACCATCTTCTTGGACATTTACACCACGGAATAATACTATGCAGTGTAAAAAAGGATCCCTTACCCTTTGAGACAGCATCATGCGACCTGTAGAGTACTATGCTAAGCAAAATAAGCCAGTCAGAGAAATACAAGCAACACATGATCTTACTCATATGTAGAATTTAATCAACAAAATAAACCGATGAACAAAATAGATCCAGAGACATAGAAACACAGAACAGACTGAAGAATCTCAGAGGGAAGGCAGGGGTGGGTGGGGAGAGATTAACCTAAGAAGTTGTATGCATATATGCATAACCCATGGACACAGACAATAGTGTGGTGAAGGCCTGGGGGTAGGGGTGCAGGGTAGAGGGGATCAATGGGGGACATTTGTAATATTTTCAACAATAAAGATTAAAAAAAAGACTGATAATTCTAGCTGGTCAGGTTGCTCTTAGTTATGAAAGAGTTTATTAGCCTAAATGATCCAAAACAGAAAAAGTAAAAAGTAATTTATATTTTGTTTTAGAATATGCTGTATAACATTTTCCATTAAAAAGCTGCAGAATAGCCA